AAAAAGAGAGAGTCTGGTGTTAGTGCACAGCTTGTGGAGTGGTGAAAAGAGGTTGGTTTGTTGATGACACGTTGCAGCAAACTGTTCAAGGTGAGGAACTTGCAAACCATGGCGGTGGTTGTGGACTTGGCTGGAAGGAGCTGCCAGCAGAGTACAACTTTACAGTGCCGGGCTTGGTTTCCAGTGTGCCATTTCATGGTAGTTCTCCAAAAGTACTTGCATTCTTCAACCACTTGTAGATTCAACGCGATTTGCTGAAGCTGAACTGAGCCATGTCTTTCGATTCCCGCGCAAGTCCACAACACTCTTAAGTACGGTTAGGAAGTATGAAAGGCACTGTTAGACTCTTCACATTCAAGATTCACACTCACTGAGGGCACAATCACGTTCACGCAGTCAAAAGCCCTACTTAATAGCTTCTTGGAACTTGTCAGCCTTCTTGTAACATTTCGGAATGGTTATACATACCCAGCACTTGAAGGTTTGTCCGAACACGCCCGAAGAGAGTCTCCAAGTCGGAAGGCCAGTATGGTCTTAGTGGCATTAAGGCATCCCTCATGCGTCGGACCCGGTTCAATCCCCGGGTGCAACACTAGGCGGACAGGCAGCCACTACCCCACCCCTGAAGTTAAGGGGATGAGCTAGGGTGTGGACCGTTAAAGCACCACAACGACTCTCCAAATCTTTGAATTTGAACTGAATGTGTTGTACACCGCAGTTTAACATACAGTATCTTAAATGAATCACCATGTGCACACATACACATGTGTACACATAACAATCATAGCAATATGTGTATCAAGAGCTGTTTCCAAGAAGTACATTGCGTGGATTCCCAAGTTGGGGCACTGTTGAATTCAGGTGCGCTACTGCAAGCGCCCATTGTTCGATGGCTTAGACCCCGCCAATGCTGCGGTGGTCCATTTTGCTTGCGCCAAGCCATGGGATTGGAGCCTTGAATAGCAAATTAGATCACAGATTCACATATAAAATAGGTAATAATTATACATATATATATAGAGTTATATTATATATATACTAGGGTGAGATGACTTAGGCCAATTGGGTCGAAATGACATACAACTTTCCCAGGGCAAGTCCTAAGTCATGTACAAATGTTAAATTTGCAATTTCATTGGCACACACTCATGACATAGGCCTTGTTGACCTGGTCCTGATTTTTTTTTTTTTCGGGGTGGGGGGCATGCTCCTGGAAGATTAGGGTGAGATGACTTAGGCCAATTGGGACTTAGGAATCCTGTCCTGTCTCATTAAGAACACATTACTATCTCATTTAAGTCTGCCTTTGTGCGTTTTTGCTCTCAAATTCCTATCTCTCGATGGTTTATTCATTGTTTAGATACCAAAGTCGTATGTCATGATGCTTGTCAATGTAAAATCAACTGTTTTTAGGATCTTTGGTGACAGCCTCTAGCATCTTTGATTTTGAGGTTTTTCCAAGCTTTTGACATAAATACTTGTGGGGGGTAGGCTAAACCTTCATGACTTAGCCGCCGCAATTTGGAGGTAGTTTTCACAAGTCCTTTGTCATTTCAGCCTATGTATATTTGCATTTACATTGTATACAGTGATTCTGCTGCAATCATGCAATTGTGCTCGTGCAATGCGAAATTTGTGTTTGTGAATGAGTGACCAAGGAGGATCTTACTCACTGGCCTGCTTACAGAGGTTTTCTGTTCCGACCATTCAAAGTTAACCGAATCAAGCCACAAACACATGTAAAACGAGCCAGTTGTTGGTTGTATTTTATTTTGCTTATTTACATTTTGTGTTTTGTAATTTTATTCATTCGTTTGTTAGATGGCGACTTAGTTGTGCCGATCCAAAAAGACTTTGCTTCATGTAACACACTTTGTTAGTCTTTACCCAAGGTGTGAACCATTTTGTCTTCATGCACTGAATAGCTCGGAAAAAATACCTGAAAGGCATAGGAGGACCTTTGACTATCAGCAGGCATGCACATACTTTTATGATTCTTTATGCAACAATGTTATATATATAGTTACACTTCTGCATATGGACACTCTCACATGCACATGGCGGGCAAACACTAGGTCCGGTCCATCGATATAATATTGATGTATCATGTTGCCCTAAGCCAAGGGCCCAGAAGAACTATTCTCCATCGCCCTACGTGAAGATGTACATTGCGCCACTTGGAGTATTTCTTTCACGTTTGATCATTGAGGAGGGATTTATTGCATTGTACCTGGCCAGCTTGGCATCGGACTTCCTAGGTTTGCCAAAGCTGCAGGCATTGTGTGGAAGACTGTTGAGTGTTCTGCAGACAGAGCCCGTGACCGGGTCAATCAGGAAAAGATGCGCTACTTGGAACACAAAGATTTGGGACCTGATGATGTTGAATTCAGGGGTTGATCATGTTTAATGAAATGGTTTCGTGTAGAGCTCATGCAAGCAGACGCGCAAGTTTCCATAACTTTCTGACAGTGGCACGGTGCGACTTGCTTTAGGCGAGATCCAGGCGCAAAAAGGTCTCTGAGCTTGGAAGCTGTGGCAGCGGCCAATGAGCCGGATTCCAACTGGGGCAGCTTATGGTAGTATGCTGAGATGGTGAACATCAACATGGACGCATTGCAATCTTTGGGTTTATGATGTTTCATGCTCGTTTTGGCTTGCATTCTTCTGCCACCCAGAAAGGCAAAGTGAACCCATGCACGACTCTATTGGACTATGATTTTATCCATGCTACCGCTTGAAGATTTCTTGATACTGTACGTGTATCGAATCGAAGGCCAGTCAAGCAGCCTGTTCAGACATCGCAGCATATATATCATAACTCCCAGCTTCCCAGCATCTTGTGATGGCTGTGAGACTCTCAAACAATAGCAGAGGTTTGCGGATACAAATTGTTTGATCAATCTTTGATGATGTTTGCATTGATGATCATGAGGCAAACCGACTCTTGACTTGACCTGGGAGTAACAAACTGTACTTGGACTTACCAACACTGCTTGTTTTTGGCCGGATGCAGGAGCGCTTGCTGGAAGAAGGCCCGCAATGGAAACAGCGCAATTGCCAAACCATGCCTGGAGTATCCTGGAGTTGGTCCAAGAGCTAATTGACTCGGTGCATTTTCTCCTGTGTGCATTGCAAGCCCTCATGAGCCGGCCTCTCATTGTAATTCATTGTGCCATCTGCAGCTTTTCAACAAGGGGCTTTCAAGGGACAGTTCTGATGCAGTTTTCTTGGGTGCTGTAGTTTGACCGAGCGAAGAATGACTGCTGCATCGACTATTTACGGACGCTAAACATATGCAAACATGCCTCGACTCAAAGAAGCGCAGACAGCCTTTGGAGTATTTGAGAGTTGAAGGACATGTCAAACTTGGGTGAATCATAGGTTTGGCGGCCAATAGTTGTCCCAAAGCCAAGGGTCTCACCTGCCGATTGCCCAAGCATGGAATTGAAGAGAGAGGCAGGTAATGAAGGCCCAGACCGAAGTCAGGCGTGTACAAAGTGAAGTTTAGGAACCAAATCAAGCATGCAAGGGCGTTTTCAAAGCTCCCTGCCCGGCGGGGGAGCTTCCTTGAAGAGGCAAGAGCTCTTCTGCGTCCAAGCCTAGTAGCTACTCAGTAGTAACTACTTCCCCCCCTACTACTAGCTACTTGAGCTCACAACGGCCTACTCCCTGTCTTGAAAAAACAACTTTTTGGATGCGTGTTTGACAAATGGACACGTGAAGGTGCTCTTCGCCACTTGCCACCTCCACGGACAGCTGCGGAAGAGCGCGCAGTAGCCTGGGTGCAGGACGTGTTCAAGCCCCTTAAGCTAAGCTGCAGCTTCGCACACAAATTGATGATGGGACATTGGATATTTAAGCTATCTCTCGAAAATACATGTCCAGCTGAATCGAACCACAAGCCGCTGGCAACAGTTACATTGCATTACTACATTACATTGCATATACTGCCCCGTGAATATTCAGCATGAGCAAGACTTGCTGAAGTAAGACTATGCTTGCAGCCGAGTTGCGGCAGCAGCAGGAACTTGATGCCTGGAAGCAATCTGCAAAAAAGCTGCGAGCGAACTCCTCTGTGTGTTGCTGAACAGCATTTGTGAGTGAGTCCTCAGTCCTGGGCGGTTGTAAGCCTCACAACACGGGTCAAGAGTAGAAGCTGCGTGATCGATTTGTTCCTATTTGCTTCTCAAGAAGTTCAATGTTTCTCGTCTTTTTGCTTCACTTTCCTTCCAGTTCTTCTCTTTGTGAAGAGCCTCCATGGTCCCATAATGCTGCCAGTCACCACGGCGTTGGGCAGCTCCTCAGCTTCGTGTCGTAGTTCTAAGCAAGGCCTGGTGGCCTGTGGCCTTGGCCGACACATTTTGTGCTGACTTGCTGTATACACTGTAGTCATTTTGCCTGACATATACTTCCTTAGATTACACATGCATATCATATGCCATATCGATGCTCCAGCTTAGGCTGGTAGTCTCAGTCAGAGGTATGCGACATGCCATCCATCCGAAAGAATAACCATTCCCTCCCAAACTTTGCGGGTGCATGTGGTGTTCCAGTTAGTTAAATATATCCAAGTCATTGACCCCTGTTAGCTACAAATTCGGCCTATACTTCTGAGGCCGTGCGATCTAGAAATGCAACATTTGTACAGTAGCCGTAACGAGGACCGCTGGTTGCACTGCTTTCACTTAGAGGCCATAAGCTCAGCAAACAGCTAAGATGTTGTTGAATTGTTGAAATGCGGTTTCAAGCTCCTAGAATAGTAGATTTGCATCTACAGCTGGTTTTTCACCCAGCTGTTGGATGGATGTTTGGACTGAACAGGCCTATTGCAGGTCGATTAGGCTGAGCCAATCATTCCAGTTTGGTACTGAGACATGGTTGTGGTTCAATGTGGTTCAATACGTTTCTGAATTTTGGCTTTTCGAGCTGCAGGGGTCACCAATTCTGATAGGAGTTTGCAATTTGGGAGTGTGTCAAGGATTCTGCTTCGAGTCATGGAAGTATTTACTTTGGACATTTAAAGACGAGCGTTTGAACTCATACATACTCATGCTTGTGCATGCTGAGAAAGTGAGCAACTTGTCACATGGAAAGTTGAACCAAAGGTTTTTTCCGAACCGATGCGCTGTATAAATTGCAACACATATCCATGTTTTTCCTTCCCTCAATGAAGGCAGAACTGTTCATGTTGGTGTTGGGAACGTTGCACATCAATAATCCAAATCCGAGGCTATGACAAGGGTTCTGACATGGTTTGAAGGACTGCAATGCATGTATTAGGGGGAGTTAACAAACTACATCACCGAGATAGCACCAATGCCCCGATTCTTTGTTCAATGTTGTGGGTTTTCAAGGAAACTGCTTTGGTTTGGACAGGCACTATATTTGAGTGAATATTTGTATGTCCAGAAATTTGTCCATTCCGGGACTTTTGTAAACCTTACTGTACGTTCCACAGCTCTGGCCACAGGCTCGACAGGAGGAATCTTGACATGTTTTCGCTGGGAGAACTCAACTTCCCCATTCATCAGATTCGTTCATGCTGGATCCATGTAAGGCAAGTCGATTGCAAGCTCTTTCTGCAGGCGGAGGCTCAGAAATGCTGCAGCGGATACTCCACAATTGAAACGGCAGGTTTTAGCGTGGCAAACCTTTTGGGTTTAATACTACTGTATCCCGTAGCGAGAAAACATGGGATGGAGAGTGCATCTACACAGCATGTTTGCATGTTTGTGCCTTGCCCAGGGGCTACGGCACCAGCTCATGGTACTGGTATAGAAGGCCTTGAAGCGTTGGAGGCAATGCGTTCTTCTCTGTGGCAGCAACTTTGTACAACTTTGCCATCCGCACAACGACATGTGAACTGAACGTGTGCACACCCACATGCTGCATACATGCATGCTTGCATGCAATCAATATATGCCTAAGGTGATACACGATTTGATCGTTTCGCTATTGATCCGGAAGGCTGAGCCGCAGTGGTCCATGTATGCACCCTCTACAGCAGTACTTCCCTTGCATGGAAGGCCAAGGTGCCCCAAAAGAGTCTTTTTGCCTGTTGACAGACTTGGATTCTTTTTGAGTTATATACTTATTTTTTCAATTTGTTTATATCTGATGGTTGTTTGATTGAAACAGACGGTTGCATAGCCATGTGCTTTGACACAATGTCGACTAGCTGTGCACGGGCCCAACTGCCACATTCTTGACCAGTAGTACCTCGAGTGGACCGCTTTTCGTGGCTCGAAGCTGGGCATCATCATGATTCGGTCCATGCAGGCACAGAGGGTGCAATCATGCTGAACTTGTCAACATCATGCTGTCAGACAGAGAAGGGTTCTGGAACATGTCTCAACATTTGCGGTGCCAACGGGTGGTTGTATTTTTGTTATTTTTTGTTTATTTGCCAAAGAAGGATATGAATCAAGTGTTAGGTTGTGAGAGTACTACCATAGAGTCTAAACTCCAAGCAAGCCACCTAGCGACATCCGGACTTCATACATTGTGCAACTTGTCGAACCATGCCACGCTCAAGCCGGAACTCTGGCTTAGTTGCATCCAGGTGAAGATTATGCAGTGAAACGAAACTCGGAAATAAAACATCTATGCCCAACTACAAGATTGGAGGGTTTGCTTAGGCTTGCTATACACCTTACTACTGCTCCGTACTAGTACCTACTAGATTGCTTTCAAGACAAGCGGAACAAAGGTCTTCCTTTGTCAAAAGAAGTCTTGAACATGCTGCAGCGACCTTCTGTGTTTGATGATGGGATTGGCTCGTGCACCAACAACTTGTTTGCATACATGGGTGTACGAAGCCAAATGGAGGAAGGCTAAGGCCCCTGGAAACTCTTGCCACCAGGGATTTGGGTTTAGATGGACTGGAAAGTAAAGCTGGCAACTAAGTAAAGACTAGACAAGCGTGGTTGTAAAAGAAATTACGAATTATCTATATACTTACTAGCCGCATTGCATCAAAACAAAACGTTTCGACAACCTATCGTAGACCTCGATATTTTATCGGTTCGACCCTCAGATTCTGTATCTGAGTTTCCTTCACCAAGACAGATGAACACAGGAGGTAATCAAACAAGCTGCTAGCCACACTGTTTCTCTAGAAGCCTACTAGCCGCTCCTGTCCACAGCTTGACTACTAAGGTTTTGGTATGCTTCCTTTTTGGAGGATGCACCTTCGTTAATACTGGCCTGTCAAGGCACAAGCAATAGTTGAAGACCAGTTCAGGTTTCTACTAACCTCATTCCAGCTGAATTCGTTTGGAGTCTAGCTGCTTCCAGCCTTGCAGATGGAACGAACCAGCAATTATTAAATATCGTCATGCGTCGGTGGCTTTTTTGCATTTGTGACAGGCCCATATCAACAGCGCGTGGCCATACGCAGTTTTGGCCAATGGGCCATAAACAAGACATGCGCACAGGGCTTGTGCAGCTTCCGCAGCAGGCCATGAGCCTAGGCGCGAGCAGTCAGCACTCGCAGTCCGCCATTGCCTGGATTCCACAAAGTCAGCATCATGGGGTCCACCAGTGTCAGGTCAGTCATTGAGTGCCAGTTGTTTGGGACCTACCTTATTGGGCCTTTGGCGCTCTGAGTGCGCAGCTGAGCACTTTTTCCCCTGACGAGATCGAGGGTCCTTTTTTCACTTGACAGGTATGGCGTTTCCTATGGCTATGGCAGTGCAGTGGAGCCGACCTTACACGTTCATTTTCTTTCACGGTTTCGATTTATGAAGGGGAACCTTCTCTGCAAACGCCTTGGCAACATTGTCGAGTGTGCAGAGTAGAAGATGCAGTTGCAATGGCAGACGACGGCAGTTTGCTAATTGTGCATCGGAGCTGCATCCCCTCTGGCCAGTGGGCGGTGGTTCAGGCCCTCTCAGCCTATCACCTTTGGCGTTCATCCTCTGGGCTCGCAGCTGTACATTTGTTCTGTCTAATTTTATATGGCGTAAGGTCCGGCCCCAAGTCCCAAGACATTCCCAGCAGAAAAAAGGAATGAAGAAATATATAGATTGAAAAAGGGATAAAACAAGGACTTACCATGACGTTCCTTCCTGTTTTCTCTCATTTTGCCTAACTTTTCTAGCCTCAGTGTTGCTTTTACCATGTTTGCCCAGAAAACGATCTCCATTGAGCCATTTACAAACAAAGAACTTATTATGAGGCTTACGCCTGACAGCCGGGCGCCGGCCCACTAGGGTCTGTAAACCGTAGAATGGAGGCGGCGCGATAAACGATCTAGGTATCTTTTGCTGTCTCTCCCTCTCTCTCTCTCTTCCTCTCCCTCTCCCGTCTCTGTTTGTCTTCGTCTTCGTCTCTGTCTCCGTCGTGGAATGTGTCGGTATGTCGGTATCTGTGTCTGTCTCTTTCCCTATCCCTGCTATAAGGTTGTGGGGGAGCATCGCTCTCCCACCCTCGTGTACGACGGGGGCCGGGACTTCGGGCGTCCCGGCAGCATCCTTCGCAAGAAGGGGGGCTGACCGCCCGCCTCGGACTTCTGAGGCCCAGGTTTGCATCAAACAACCTCACCAGCGCCATTGTGTTTTCTCGTTGCCCGGAGGGTGTGCCGCGACCAACGTGTTATTTTTGACAACTTGTCATTCACAACTTTCATTTTTCCAAAGTCTGACGTATCTTCTCGCCAAGTTCCTTTGAACCTTCAAGTCCATGTCGTCATGTCGCCCCGGATTTGTTTGAAACCGTTCTGCATCCCAAAAGGGTTGAACTGAGAAGCTCTATTCACCTCAAAGATCCTCAGAATCCTTTTGAACTCCCTTCATCCGAAGAGTGTTTGATCCAAAACAAAACGAAGCAAATATATCGTCGAACGTCCAAAACAGAGCAAAATTAAGTCGAAGGGTTGCGATCTCATTTGCCATATGGAAAAGATAGTGTGTTTTTGGCCGGACTTTGTAAAACATGATCTTCTGATCATGGTAGTGCAGAGCGAGCCATGCATAGGTCCGCAAATGCAGGTGCAAACATTGCGACGCTTCAAGGGCACTCGATGGCTCTAACACAATTCCACTTTCGCTCATGATTTCCACAACACGTTGGAGGCCCCAAAGACAG